GATTCCCCTCTGTGGACAACATTTAACGGACAGGGTCACCGAGAGCTGTGGGTCCGTATGCAATGCCAGACATGGCGGAGGGTCCCCGGTGCACTTGGCCCAGTGCCTCCGCTGGAGGAGTGTGGGAGGCCCTGACATGGATGTTTTTATAATATATATATATTTTATTGATTGCAGAGAGGAAGGGAGAGGGAGAGGGAGAGAGAGACAGAAACATCAATGATGAGAGAGAATCATGGGTCAGCTGCCTCCTGCACGCCCCCTACTGGGGATGAAGCCCGCAGCCCAGGCATGTGCCCTGACTGGGAATGGAACCCTGACCTCCTGGCTCTTAGGTCAACGTTCAACCACGGAGCCACGCCCCGCCGGCTGGGCATACTCTCTTTTTTCATTTTCACAGACAGAAGTTGGGGTTCAGCGTCGCTGGATGAGCTTTAAAGCCTTTAAAGGGCAGAGAGTTGCTCTGTGCTGCCCCCTGGGTAAAGCCAGGTGTGTGTCCCCTTGTGCACCCCTGAGTTCTTGGTTGTTTGGGGGGGCAGGTTGGGAGACAGGTGGGCACTCACATCTGGGGTTTGGGCAAAGAACCGTCTCCTACCACAGGCATCTGCTGAAACCCCAGACTTTACATCTTGGGGGACAGGTGTGTCCCTTCTCAGCGGGATCCAGCAGCCAGCTTGTTTCCGGGTATGTGAGCACCTCGCGGGGGAGCACCTGAGCGGGTGTTGGCCCTGCCACTGGGTCAGCGCACAGGGGAGGCGTGGAGGAACCTGACCCTCGTGCTGGCCCTGACTCGGCTCCGGGAGAGGGTCCCCGCCCACGGGCTCCCACCCGCCTCAGGTGTCCACTGGGGCAGAACACTGACCGGATGTCTCCAGGTGACCCCGGGAGGAAGGGCGGGGCCCTGCAGCGGGGTCTTTATCACTTGGTTGTGCACCCGGAGCGGTAAGGCCCCGGTGTCGGTGTCCGGGAGCAGCCTCCCCCAGAGGTGGAATCTCCGCGACCAACCCGGGCGCCCCGGCTCACCCGCAGCGCGGCCTCCGGGTCCCCGGCCAGCAGGTGCACGCAGCCCACGTTGAAGCACATCTTGGCGGGCGGCTCCGGGAAGCCCGAGAAGAGGCGCAGCGCGCAGCTCCAGTCCCCGCGCTCCACGGCCTCCACGCCCCGCTGCCAGTCTCGCACCTGGTCCCCGAGCGAGGGCATGGCGGCGTCCGCACCTGTCTCGCCGCCGCGGAAGTCCCTGCTTCCGGGTAGGAGCGCGGCAGGTGGCGGGTGGGGTCCAGGGAAGGGTCCGGGGAGATGACCGCAGAGCAGGGACGTCTGGGTCCGGAGATGGGCTCGGGCTGTGGGGTCCCCCCGAGGCCGGTCGGGGGGTCAGGGGAGACGGACTGACTGCTGGGCACGTGTCCTGGGGCAGGATGTCCGTGAGAGCCAGGTGCGCCACGCCACCTGCTCTCCTAGGCGACCCCCGGGGCAGG